AATCTCTCCCACGTTCAAACGGTATTAAATAATAAAATTAAGTAAAACAGGTAAACTGACCTCTTGCAAACGGTTTTCGTGAGACCAGTATTATTTATGAAACAATGAAGCTTGATTAAAAATGCGTAGTTCAATTCGGTCAGAATCTTGAATTATCTTAGTTAACATAACAAATTAAAAAAAATGAAACTAGCAAAATCTCTATTATATAAAAAATATTCATTGGGACAATCAAAGTTAATGCATCCTACATTTTCCGGCCTGAATCCAAAAATGAGACATATTACAAAACATACATATTCTTGTTTTCTTATTGTCTTCCTTTTTTGAGTACAGGGTGAACCAATCACCCACGCATCCATACCTCGAACCGTTTTCGAGAAATCAGCTTTGCTATTTTCAAAAATGTTTGGCCCACCCTGTATTAGGTTAAAAATAGCCTACATTCACAAACTAGAGTAACACTATAAAACTGTTAAGTAGTTCTCGCGGTAGCTACTGACCTCTGACAGTTTTTGCAGCGCTCATAGACAATGAACCGTATGTGTAATGCGAAATACACTATACTATCTCTGATACCGTTGCAGCTGGCTCCGTTACGTGCATTTACCCTGCGTCTGCAGTTTCAAGCGTATGAAGATCGATAAAATAAAATTTTAACGTCAATACATTGATTATTGATCCAGTTTCTGTCCATGACTTTATTTCTATGGATTTATATAACTAAATCAATGAAAACAATAATTTCTTAATTTGTTGAACTAATTGAATTAGTAACTAAGGTACCTATTTATCTACTTAAGTACAAATTGTAAAATGTTGCACTTATGGAACCATTAGGTCTCATCTCAATTTGGCAAGTGCTGATTGTAAGTAGGAAAAATGATGATTCAAATGATTCCCTACTATACATACATTTTAATTTCCTGTAACCCCAACAAGATTTTTTGACGCTAAGACCAGGCCTATTATACCAGTATACTTCCAAGGTGCAATGTAACTCTATGTATAAACATTTTGAACATAGCTACCTTTTTATTTAATCTTCATAACAATAACCATAGTAGAACAGTTGACGAAATACACGATTCTGTTCAAGAAAAACCCCATAATAACACTCGCAACCATTAACGTTTCAACACTCGAAGCAACGAACTGTTAATGGTTCCATAAATGACTGCTAACCTTTTGGCTAACCTTGTATGGTACCGAAAGAATTAGTCGCCAGGAGTAGTGACTAAAACGCCAGTTAAGATCGAGGTTCTAATCCCGCTGGGGGCAAATTTTGATAACAGTAGAGCATGAGCTACAGGACCGGTAGTTGTGGTACTCCTTGGAGGAGGCCTTTGTCCAGCAGTGGACGTCATTTGGCTGAAACGAACGAAAAAGGTAAATAATCAGACACCAAATTCTATGTTACTTGTTTCTATGTTACTCAACAAATTACTCAACAAGGGGAACGTAAGATAAAGTTAAACATACGACAGACGCGTAAATACGGCATTATCAGCAAAAAATATGATGCTACGTCTCGTGATAAGATTAATTTGACATTTTAATTTTGTTCTGATTTATTAACGACCTATTGCACCATCAAGTAAATACACGCATTTTCGTCCATTCACTGATATAGGTACTCGTAACATTTTCGTCCATTCACTGATATAACTGACATAGCAGATACAACATTTGCTGATACAGCGCATTTGCTTCTCAATATGAATAAACTTCTTCTTCTTCTTCGGGATACTTAAAGTGTTTCTGTCTTTAAATTATGTAAATTGTAGTAAGTATCGAGGTAGAACTGCAACAGCATCAATACAAACCTTAGTGGTTTCCTAAATGCTGTTAAAACAAATTGTCTGTAATTTTATTTGGTAAATAAATGAAAAAGAACTATGTTAACTAAATATTGACAGGGGACAACCCACACTAAGTATTACTGAAACGTAGTCTCCATCTAAGAACTCGTTTACTCCAACTTTCTTCGGTCTTGAGTCAGATATGACCAACAATTTATTGTTACTTTCGCTTCCTTCATTTTTGGAATATGACCCAGAATTTTATTTATACCTATGGTGAGATCTCAAGCTTCTTTCCATATTGCTCACTGAGTTACGTATTACGTAGACGATGAGACAGTTTTTTAATCATACTTCATCTTTCAGCTTTGTTGTATATTACATCCACTCAATCGTAGAGGCTTTCTCCTTCCTTATACCTATCAAATCTTTGGCTTTTTTTTTCGTTTGGAATGGATAAAGAATAATTAAATTTTTGACATATTATACAGGGTGAAAACGATAAGTGAATCACTCGACTATTTCTAAACTAAGTATACAAGATATAGAAAAGCTGGTTACTGATCCTGAAAGTGCTTCACAAGCTCTATCAAACAGTTACAGAATAAACTGTATCTATCCAAAAACTTAATGTTCCTAACTTCCATAGGTAAATTTAGTATTCCATAGATAGGTACAATACACATAATAAAGCTTGTAACCAAGGCCGTTAATCCATCGGAAGTTCTAAAATTAACCTTGTATGTATTTGATCATAAGAACACCATTAAACCATCTCAAAAGAATTGCACTGGCAGGGTCAAAGTTGTTATTTAGTGAGACAACTTAAAAACATACTCTTTTGTAGTTTAATCTCAATACTTATGTGAATCGACGTCATCATACAACCTTTTTAAAGCATTAAACCCCACCATAAAACTTCTTGGCGGGAAAGTGAAGAGTCATGTTTAGCAGTTTTGTTTTATCTTCTAAATATGTGTTTACCCGACTATTAATGTGTAATAATGGTGGATTATTAACCATTAAGTGTTCATTAACCGTTCGTGCACGAGTGTAGGCAAATCAACACAGTGCAACCTCACTTTTCCAGTTCTCTCAAGAAGTCAACGTTAGTTCCATAAAGTGCCACATATTTACTGTGAAACTAAGGATAAATCATGTATCATCATTAATCATCACTCATTGACATTAACTGAATGTTTCTAATTACCTTACCTTCCAAGCAAAAAAAATAAAAAAGGGCCAAACAACCATTAACCATATTTTTTCTATTTTTAGAGATAATAATATTGCGTCGGGGATTTTTTAAATTAAATTTGTTTTTAAGGTTATTGATCCTAATAAACAATTCAACTGATCCGGTTTTATTGAATCGGAACTTAGAACGTTCTCGATTAAAAAACGTTTCTTTAAATCACTTTAAATCAGTTCATCTGTTTAAGACGCACGTTGAACTTTTAACATTCATCGGATTGTGTGTGATCTACTTATCCATATTTTTCTTATAATAATGGACAGGCAAAGACTAACTAGGTACCCTATTAAATAAAGAAATGACATTTTCTGCCTATTAACCTGCTTTTAAATATTTAGAGAAAAAATCAGAAACTATTTATTATTTGTTAGATTACACTCACATTGATTGAAGAAATACATAAGATCTTATAATTAGCTTGTAAAAGTTCTAGAAAAGTTACTTATTTTGTTAATTTTACGGATGAAAATTTGTGTTTATTAATTTTTATTCCTCAGGTGGTTACTTATTAAACATATATAACCTGACCAGGAACATAAAAACCCTGGCATAGAGGCGCTTCAATTGCATTTGATAGAGCAACACTGAGTACAGTCGTACATGTGTTAAATTAATAGGCTAAATTTATGTACCAGGATTCAGGATTACGGGCTAATTTGATATTTTCATAAATTAACGAAAAATATTATTAAAGGAAACCTGGTTTAAATAAATTAAATGAAACCATCAATCGAGCTAGTAGGATTTATTTTATTATTCATCAATAATCAAATTCAGAACTTGAATATTCAACTGCAATGTCTGCTCATGAACGCTTCAAACTCGGTACTTCTTTCCCAATTCCATAAAATTCAAAGCTTAGAAAGTGACAAAAAACATTAAAATAGGTAGTTGAAACAGACTACAGCTAATTTTCATAGTGGACTGTACTATACGACAAACATGTCAGTCAATTTGACAACCTTTGTCGGAAACATTATTCAATGAAAATATTGTTCGAACCCTTAGTATTTCTCTTCGACAAATACATTAACACATCGTGAACCACTTTTCTTTCACGACTATAAAAATATTTTAGCAATTTAATTCACAAAATCAATTGCAAACATTTAAAATAAAGTTTGTTTACACTTTGACAACAATAGACTGACATGCAAGGTGACATGTCAATGAAGTTTTCAGTTACTGTTGCCATTAAAAGAAATTAGTACCATTAGTTTTCCGCAACATGGCGAGGGTTTTTATGTTCCTGGTCAGGCTATACCTATATTTTTATGCCTAAACGCTTTGGTGACAATGATTGACATAATTATGTCATTCATTTTATTTACGCTGTAAGAAAATAGCTGTCACAACAATGTGAAAAACTTGGAAAAACTCCTAAACATACCTAATTACAAAAGGTGCAAAATATAGTTTAACAGTAATTTCAGTCATTAACTGCAAATTTAATGTACCAAACTATTAATAGTCTATACCAATAGACATTTTTGACTTTGACTATGTTTTTGTTCACATAGATGAAACTCAGCAAATCCTCCAAAGTCCAAACATTAACTTGCAGTTTTAAAAATATACCAAAAAATAGGTATTCAGTGCATTCATAACCAAGGTACTTAAGTAAAATACCACCAACTTTTATGAGTTTATTGACACCTTCCCTTCAGGTTAGGAAGTACTACGTAAAGATTAAGTTTAATGCTCCATTATTATGGTCATTTATGGTCATCTATAAAAAATATGTTTTTGTTTTTCGTCTAAAAATGTTCTTTATGTGTTTTATCTTGTAAACCGCAAGAAAATAAGTAGGTACCTACTGGATGTTTTATGCATAAGTGACAAAAACAGGAAAAGAAAATAAGAAAATGTCTCAAAGAAGAATTAAGTAGGGGAATACCCTAAACACGTACATTGCAGAAGAAAATGATACACTACCTAGTTGACAGATCAGTAATAAGTAGGAGCGGGACCTTCAAAGAACGCAAAGAATCTGATTTTTCTTTATTTGGATCTCTTTTGAAGACTGAAATAAAATGTGCGAATAGGTACCTACTACTTAAAAAAATTTAAAAATGTAAAATTTACTATGAATAGGTACAAAGGTTTCGCCTTCCTATCATGTATTTTTTTCACAAGGCCAGTGTCCTATTATTAAATAAGTTATTTTGGAAAAGAACATAAAACGATGAATTAGATATTTATGATTCAGGGGAAAACCCGTACTTATTTCTGTTGCAGTATAAAATTAATAAAAAGGATTATGTTATTGCAAGTATAATACAAGTTTGTCCAGCTGTCTATTTAAAAATGCTGTTGGCATTTACATCTTTCATGTTCTTTTTGCTGAAAGAAAGGTGAACGTACGCTAGATGGCAAGCGATGTCCTTCTTTATTGCTGTCTATCCTGTAGGATTAACAGGTTTATAATACTTAAGAAAAAAACAAAATATTTATTGCCAGATTAATTAATACAGTTTATCTACATTAGATTGGATTCTTATGAAAATTTCTTTAGGAATGCTAGAATCCATTGCTGCATTGCCCGCGTATTATGTATCTAGCATACATAATACAGATATAAAATAAAAAATAAAGAGTNTAAAGTTACACATAGATGAAACTCAGCAAATCCTCCAAAGTCCAAACATTAACTTGCAGTTAAAAATATACCAAAAAATAGGTATTCAGTGCATTCATAACCAAGGTACTTAAGTATAATACCACCAACTTTTATGAGTTTATTGACACCTTCCCTTCAGGTTAGGAAATACTAAGTAAAGATTAGTTTAATGCTCCATTAATAATTATGGTCATTAAATGGTCATGTATGACAAAGTATGTTTTTGTTTTTCGTCTAAAAATGTTCTTTATGTGTTTTATCTTGTAAACCGCAAGAAAATAAGTAGGTACCTACTGGATGTTTTATGCATAAGTGGCAAAAACAGGTCAAGAAAATAAGAAAATGTCTCAAATAAGTATTACCTAAGTAGGGGAATGCCCTAAACAAGTACATTGCAGAAGAAAATGATAGAATACCTCGCTGTAAGATCAAAACGGGACTATTCCCACCTCTCGTTCCCACCACTGCAACTCCTGTGTAGCCAGGATCTACAGCTTGACCACACGCTTTTGGCCACAAAAACCCAACAAATGAAGGTCAAGTTTGTCCCGGGGGAATGTTAAACTGTCATTGGACCCGCAACGAAATTAATCAGAAGAACATAGGAGGAGTTCGATGAGTAATAAATAGGAGCGGGACCTTCTAAGAACGCAAATAATCTGATTCTTCTTTATTTCTGCCTTGAAGATAACTTAAATTTTGAAGCCACGATAGCCGAACGGTGAAGGGGTCGGACTGGTCGACTCGTGATCCGGGCTTCGTGGGTTCGGTCCCCGCCGCCGCTCGACTATTGTGGTGAGCTAAGCTTAAATTTAGCTTAGTAGGAGGGCTAACGGGACTTAATTAAATATGCTTGTATCGCAAAAAAAATTGATCTTTCTTGAAGATTGAAATAAAATCTGCAAATAAGTACTTAAAACATTTTTAAAATGTAAAATTTCTTATGAGTAGGTACAAAGGTTTCGCTTTCCTATCATATATTTTTTTCACAAGGCCAGTGTCCTATTATCAAATAAGTTATTTTGGAAAAAACATAAAACTATCATTAGATATTTATGATTCAGGGGAAAACCCGTACTTATTTCTGTTACAGTATAAAATTAATAAAAAAGGATTATGTTATTGCAAGTAATACAAGTTTGTCCAGCTGTCTATTTAAAAATGCGCTTGGCATTTACTTCTTTTATGTTCTTTTTGCTGAAAGAAAGGTGAACGTACGCTAGATGGCAAGCGAGTTCCTTCTTTAATGCTGTCTATCCTGTTGGATTAACAGGTTTAATAAACTTAAAAAGAAAGAAATTTTTATTGTCAGATTAAAAAATACAGTACATCTACATTAGATTGGATTCTTATGAAAATTTCTTTAGGAATGCTAGAATCAATTGCCCGCGTATTAAAGAGTCGATTGTTAAAAAGAACTAACAAAACATTTCTAAATTAGAATTATTATTAAAAGAACAAAGCTTTGCTTTTAGTTAATAAAATCAACTATAATTAAGGTCAGTGCTCTACAATTAAGTAAGTAGGTACTATAATTGCTGTCAAAGGATACCCAAAAGCCTTTAAAACTTGTCAAAAGTCGTCCAAAGAAATGTCAATAAACAGTTCAACATAAACTGCGTCACATTAACCTTTTACAGTTAATTGAGCACATTTGCTCGAGTTTCTTTAATGCCAATCATGCATGAGTCCTTTGTTAGCATTTAAATAATAACAATTATTTTATTGACGCACTTATACCTACATTTTCCAAGGTTTTTGATGACGCAAATGTAAGAAGTGAAAATAAACGCTTGGGGCCTTCGATCCTAGCCCATTTTATTACGTCAGTAGTTATTTAATAACAAAAGAATCATCAGACCATTTAGTTTCCATTGCAGTAGAATGATTCTCTTTCTCTAATTTACCAGAGCCAAATGAATTTTAGTGTTAATGCCCAACGTGTTGCAACGCTGACCCGACAGTTTAGGGTTTTGAGAAATTATGTAATACGGCTGAAGAAGCACTACTAACTCTTTTATACAGCTTTCTTGTACAGCTTTCAGTAACCAGGTAAGCCGTATGGTGGCTGCTGTACAGCATTTTTGTGCTACTCGGGTACTTAAATTGCCTACTCGTACCACATACACACAGAGTCCTTTCTTATTGTCTTTACGTATGACTTTAATTGCCATTTAGAAGTGTTAAAAAGAGAAATCATGGTACATGGCCCAGACTTAAATCAAAACCTTCTTTCCCAGACAAAAATGAAGATCAAGAGCGATCTCCTGGTGCAGCCTGAAGGTGAGATGTGGAAGAAGATCAGGGTTGAGCTGAACGAGGACCCGGCAACGAGAGACCGGGACCTAGCCGCCATTAAAGAGTGGCTGAGGAAGCAGCCGCATCTGCCTGATGAGTGGGGTAAGGATATTGAAGATTCTGTTCTAACTGCCTAACAATACGGCTGAAAACAGCTTGGCAACCATAAAGGTAGGGGCTGGTCATTTGAAGATCCTATACCAACCAAAAAGATTCGCGTCGAAATCAATGAAGACGTCAACACACGGGACAGCGACTTGGCCGCCATCAAGGAGTGGCTGAGGAAGCAGCCGCATCTGCCTGATGAGTGGGGTAAGGGTATTGAAGATCCTCTTCTATTAATCTAATAATACAGTCGACAATGGTTTGAGTGTGAGATGTGGAAGAAGATCAGGGTTGAGCTGAACGAGGACCCTGCCACTAGAGACCGCGACCTGGCCGCCATTAAAGAGTGGCTGAGGAAGCAGCCGCACCTGCCTGATGTGTGGGGTAAGGATATTGAAGATTCTGTTCTAACTGCCTAACAATACGGCTGAAAACAGCTTGGCAACCATAAAGGTAGGGGCTGGTCATTTGAAGATCCTATACCAACCAAAAAGATTCGCGTTGAAATCAATGAAGACGTCAACACACGGGACAGCGACTTGGCAGCCATTAAGGAGTGGCTGAGGAAGCAGCCGCATCTGCCTGATGAGTGGGGTAAGGGTATTGAAGATCCTCTTCTATTAATCTAATAATACAGTCGACAATGGTTTGAGTGTGAGATGTGGAAGAAGATCAGGGTTGAGCTGAACGAGGACCCTGCCACTAGAGACCGCGACCTGGCCGCCATTAAAGAGTGGCTGAGGAAGCAGCCGCACCTGCCTGATGTGTGTGGTAAGGATATTGAAGATCCTCTTCTATCTACCTAACAAGAACTACAACAACTGTTTTCAATCTACGGTTGAAAACAGCTTGGCAACCATAAAGGTAGGGGCTGGTCATTTGAAGATCCTATACCAACCAATGATACCAACCAAAAAGATTCGCGTCGAAATCAATGAAGACGTCACCACACGGGACAACGACTTTACAAGATTGAATTTTACAAGGACTTAGATATTAACTGGCTCCTCGAATATTAACAAGATTATATTAATAGATATTAACAAGATAGCTCTGCTGTGTCCTCACAAAGCAGAGCTATCTACAGACACTCACTAATCCGTGCCACAACGTTTGACTAAGGTTTTGACTAAGGTTAGTGTTAGGGCACAGTCCGTTTTGACTAAGGTTAGTATTAGGGCGTGTAGAGTCTCGTAGCTTGGCTCTACACAAGTAATTGTTTTACAGTGCGAGCCGTGCAGTTTAGGTAGGCAACATGTTACATGAGGATGTTTTTGGTGGGTTTGAAATATTTACTAACTAGCTTTTGCCCGCGGCTTCACCCGCGTATAATTTAGTGTCACAAATCGGCATAAATTATAGCCTATATGTTAATCTGTGTTATAAACAATATTACTGCCAAGTTTCAACAAAATCCTTTCTGTAGTTTTTGCCTGAAAGAGTAACAAACATCTAGACATCCAGATATCCAAACTTTTGCATTTACGTATAATATTAGTAGGATTAGACTTGAGATCAGGTTTAAAAATAACTTTACATCTTATCAAGTTAGTCCATTCACAATGTGTCTGCTTGCGCACTTACGAAAACAATCAATGTAGGTAGTTTCTATTAATATTTAGTCACACTTATACAAACTTGTCGATGAAATGAAAGCGGTTTCTTACTTAAAAGATAATAGAAAACGCATTGAAAATCTAAACAATAATTTAAACCTTACCTTAACATTTTACAGAGGATGGGCCACTGATGACCTTCCTCCGGGGCAGCAGTTTTTCCCTGGAGAAGTGCAAGAGGAAGCTGGACATGTACTTCACGATGCGAGCAGCTTGTCCAGAGTTCTTCAAGAACCGGGACCCCACCAACCCTGACTTGGCGGACATCTTGACTGCCAAAGTGTAAGCACCAAAACTTTCTTCATTATTTTAGAGTTAAACGCAAATAGAAGAGAATATAGACGTGAAATTAATTGTTTATTAATTACATACAGTCAGAGAGGAAATAAAGAGCCACACACTCCGCTACAAGGATAGACTTTCAAATCATCCAAACTCTTCAGTACAACAACTCATCATGACCATTGAAGGCTTCCTATTCAGCAGACTGCAAAGAGCTAGTGTCAGGGGTCTCCTTAGTAGATTCCAGGACAGTTGAGAAACCATGACCACTGAGGGCAACTGAGTCACTGGACTCCACCCTACCCATGACAAAGAACAGTGCAAACGGACACAGGAGTGGATTATTGTAGTTCCCTACAGATTGCCGCTGGGACCACGGATATAAGAGAAAAAAAAAATTAATTACCTACATACATTTAAAAGACTTATTTTGAAGCTGATAACTAAGTTTAGTGTAAGATAGGTACTCGTAGTTATTATTATTTTAGTAATTTAAAGATACAACACTTAATAAATTTTCGAGAGTTTCAACACCATCTAACTTTTTATGATTTGTCAAATCACGATTTCCCCAGAGATTCTGTTTAAAGAATTCCAAAATAAGAAACAAAGGACCAGTTAGTAAAATTGTATTTATTTATAAAAAGTAAATTCAGATTTCCATCATTCGGGATAATGAATTCATTATCTTTCATTATCCTTCCATATCCTACATCCTTTTATGTTCAACTATCGTCTACATAAAATTTATCGGAGTACATAATCACATACATATTATGTCCAGTTCCACCCACTCATGCGCATATAACGCCACCAAAATTTGAAGTAGTCCAACCATAGTAGTCTAAACTTAATAAATAGAAATATAGAAAAGGTTGTAATAGTCGTGCACACGAAAATAATACCAAAGAAAAAAAACAAACCACAATCAATAGTATTCGGTTGTCGCTGAACACTTGGAAACTGAATACATGACTCCGATAGATACGGAAACAAGGCTTTTACATATATTTTTTGCGATTTTCCTAGAACACCAACAAGACTATCGTACACACGCAGTATTCCATTAATGTAATAAATACAACTCCAGTGCCCCACTAATCCCACGTCACCGTCATAAATTACTTGAAGGTGCGTCTCATTTTTAGGTACAGGTTCAATCAGTTCAGGGTGTTGAAATAATTCTAGCTCACGCGGTCTAAATGATGTGCACCGAAGTAACTTTTCATGAAATGCGCGAACCACATCATCTTCGATATAGTTATTATAATTCAGAATGTAGGAAAACGTATTATCTAAAGTATCCATTGTTAGATGATATACAATAAGCTTTAGAAATTTTAAAAACCTGCTACGAAACACTAAAATTTGCACCAAAAACAAAGGAATTTATATTATTGGGGGATTTATTAGTACGTGACCGGTTTAATAGCACCTATTAAACCAGTATACCTACTTACTTATTTTTTATAATAGGTACAATTCAATATTAAAAAGTCTCAACGCCAAATTCGACTTGCGAAAGAAGTAAATGGGAACGATGAAATTCTCTTAGCGCGCACAAGTGACAACGACGTCTGCCCTCACGTGTCTGCCCGTTCGGGTCGACGCGGTTAGCTATCTTATCCCCGCTCCCGCGCGAGACCACGCCCCGCAACTCACGCGCTGCAGCGCAGCGAGCGACCGATCTTCTTGAATCGATGTAATAATAATCTATAGGATTAACGCGTTTTAAAAATATTGGTTCGATGGATATGTTTAACCTATTATTACTCAACAATCACATTTGTAATATTAAACTTTATCAAATGCACAATGTATTTAAGGTACATTACTGGATAAGGATTAATGGCGTATTGCTTGAATAAGCTAATATTTCTCGTAAAAAGTACCTACATTATAAAGATTTTATATCATCGCGGATTTTAAAAGGTGTACAATACTGTAGTATATTTTTTGATCTATCTTATAAGGTTCAGCCATCGTTTTCAGTGTAAGCACAATAACTTAACCAAAATTACAGTTAAATCAACCTATCTCAAAAACTATAAGAGATACTTTGATCAAACCAAAAATCGTTGAAAGAGTTAATTAGCATGCATCACCTCTATTTTTTTTAGAATTTTATACCCCGTAGTTATAAAAATAGAGGGGGGGGGACATACTTTTTACGACTTTGAGAGCTGATATCTCAAAAACCGTTCACTTTAAGAAAAATGTTTTTTAGAAAACTTTATATCATTTTAAAAGACCTTTCCATTGATACCCCACACGGGTATGTACATCGAAAAAAAAATTTTCATCCCTCAGTTACATGTATGGGGGGCCCCACCCCCAATTCTTTTTTTTACTATTTAGTGTCATAATTTTGTAGCGGTTCATACAACACATATTCCCATCAAATTTCATCACTGTAGTACTTATAGTTTCCGAGTAAATCGGCTGTGACAGACGGACAGACGGACAGACGGACAGACGGACAGACGGACATGACGAAACTATAAGGGTTCCGTTTTTGCCATTTTGGCTACGGAACCCTAAAAACACCAAAATTCAAGACAATGCAAACACAATTGCAAAACATCTTGCCTGTTTTTAACAGCGACTCTTTAAGATTCAAATCCTTGTGTACATTTCATCATCAGCTACCATCGTTGGTCAATCAGAAGGTCAGGCGCTTCCATCGGTGAAGAGCATACAGACCTTGACCTTTTAACCAAGGTGGCACGACTCATCACGTCTCTGCCAATTATGCAATTAAGCACAACTAGCAATTTGCTATTGTATTTAACAGTGATCACATTTCGCTCGTGTATTGTTCTAGATCAGTGTACCTACCATGAGTTTACGTTAGGTGTGCTCGCTAGCGAAAACGTCAAAAATCTCTATGGAGATTTTGTTTCTTGAAAGTAGCCGCTAGGGGCGCTGCACAATATGTCATACAATTAGGTGTCATTTTTTTACGCAGTCGCTAGCGAGCACACGTAACGTAAACTCATGGTAAGCACACTGGAAACATGAAAGAATATCAGTATTCTAATTTTCGACAATATTGCATTTAAGCATTTCTTTTGTTTTGTTTTTGTAAAAAAGTTAAGTTATATAGCACAGTAGGTATAGTACAGAAGTTCTCAAAAATTAAATGTAAAAAACTAAAACTCATAAATCTCATTTATTTTTGCAAATAGGCTTTTAAAAAGCACTTTTACACGTCCCAATATTAACCCTACCACTGCTTCGGGACAATAAATGGGCCAGTGCTGAGAAGAAGCAGCACAAGTAGTTTAGTAGGTAAGTACTCAATTTCGATTTCACGAAGCTTACAGCTTCATGGAATCGAGTTTGTAGAACCAAAGTTAAAGGTAATACATCTTTGGTACTGGTACTTTCTTACTAACATAATATTGTAATTAATAGGGACAAAGAAGTAGAATCCTGAATCGAAGTCGAGTGTTACAGGCAATCAGCTACATTTTGCTGGTGTTATTAAAATATTAGTTAATTGTTGTTTAATTATCATTTTTTGTTTCTTTACAGACAAGGCCCACCTCTTCCAGGCTTGACACCAAATGGAAGAAGAGTCACGGTATGTAGAGGTAAGAATTCTTCGTTAATCAGCTGACAGCTCTACCAAACTGAATCTGAAATCTTATGTAATTAAAAACTTCCTTACTATTTTGCAATTTTATGTCTTTTGACATGATTTATTGTTATAACAATATTACCACAATATTGTAAATTATAGTATCTTTTGCGGACTATGAGATACAGTCTGCTGAAAGCCGCTGATTTACATATACCTAGCATATTTAATCGATTCACCTTCGAAAAAAATCTCTCAATGCCAAAAAAAAATTTCGGACCCAATTATCTACATTATGTTCTTTATTGACACCCTTTGGGCTACAAAAAAAAGTAGACTAATCGATTCCGCTTTCGCATTCAACCAAGTTTTATGACCAATCTTTTTTCAGGTGTACAGTCAAACTTGAACGCCAACGAGATCGCAGACACCCTCAAGCTGGCTCTCATGATTGGGGACGTCCGCCTCATCGAGGAAAGGGAGGGCGTGGCTGGTGACGTGTATGTGCTGGACGCTGCTGTGCTGGGTCCCAGCTTGCTGGCCAAGCTGTCCCCAACTACCATCAAGAAGTTTATGATCTGTGTTCAAGTAAGGACCAAATAACCGACAACTATGAGCCTTTTTGACAGCATGTGCTGGAAGTAACTGTGCTGGGTCCCAGCCTGCTGGCCAAGCTGTCTTCAACTACTATCAAGAAGTTCATGATCTGTGTGCAGGTAAGGAGCAAATGACCGATAAATATTCATGAACCAATTGACAAAGCATTATACCTACGTCAGAGTCACATCGTTGACTTTTGTGTGTTTAGATTTTCTGTAAAATTCAATTTGCGCTAGTTTTAAATTTAATGAATTGACTAAGTAGTGGAATCCTCCAAGGACACAATCTAGAGTCCCGTTTTCACATCTTATAGAAAAATGCCAATTGACTAGTGGTATACCTACACTATAGTACCTATATTATTCGTACATATTGCTACATTAGCACACAATTACCTCTACAATAAGGCCATTAAAAAGTTCCATAACACAAGCATCTCGGTTGGTTCCACAAATATGAAAATATCGTGAACTTTTTCTGATATTTGATGGAGTCATTTCTTACTTTCACTTTTAAACTGGACTTTGAACTGAACGAGAAACGAGAGCATGTCCAAATGAAAGAGCAATACAAAAATGCGGCAATGACCCAGACAACGTGTGACCATGTCTGACCCCACAAAGTCCGGTTATCGTCATAATTATTTATCTCTACTTTTTTTAAAGTAGAATATTTAGTAAAAAACCGGCCAAGTGCGAGTCGGGCTCGCACACCGAGGGTTCCGCCGTACAAACGTAGCGGTTTACAATTTATGACGTATTAAATCAAATTACTTACTTGATTCCGTTGCGAGTAGTGGCGAATTTCAAAATATGCGGTATGATTTTTTTTTCTTTATTTATTTTTCCTATATTTGCATTATAGGTAGGTACCTACCTACCTCAGCGTTTTGAATTTTTGCGTTGATTTAGAATTTCTCACAGTTTAGAGGCAATTAGATTTAAGAAGTGTTTGATATGAATTTCAACTTTAATATCTCTACGCGTTCATGTGAAAAAGGGTAGGTAGTAAGTTTATAATTATTAAAAAAATATTTTATGTCATGTAAGCAAAAATAATATTTTAAATTTTATATAACTTCAAATTTATCATTTTCGCAATTTTTCCTTTATCTGTACTATATAACGTTGCTTCGTGCCGAATTTCAAGATTCTGAGTTCACAGGAAGTACCTTGTAGGTTTTGATTCCCTAGCGTGTGACGGAAATTCGTCTAAGGTGTCGGTATAAACTGCTGTATCTTTTGATCGCGTTAACTTAGAAGTTTGATTTTTTTACTTCTTAAAGGGACAATAGATCTAGGTATTTGGTATAAATTTCAATTTGATACCTTTATTCGTTCGTGAGAAATAAGGTAGTAAGTTTCATTTTATTAAAATATTTTTATTATATTATATAACTAAAAAAATGAAATTTTCGCAATTTTTCCTATATTTGCATTATATGACAATGCTTTATGCCAAATTTCAAGATTCTGAGTTTACGGGAAGTATCCTGTAGGTTTTGATTCCTTTGCGAGTGTCGAAAATTTGTTGAAAATATCGACATAATCGGCTGTATCTTTTGATTGGCTTGGCTTAGAAGTTTGATATTTTCACAGCTTAAAGGGACAATAGACCTGAGTATTTCATGTGAATTTCAGCTTGATACGTTCACGCGTTCTTGAGATAAAGGGTCTTGACAGACGGACGGACGGACAACAAAGTGATCCTATAAGGGTTCCGTTTTTTCCTTATGAGGTACGGAACCCTAAAAATTACTAAAAGTGTCGTTAACTCCTTGTGTTATGCTCTGTTACTAATGGGTTCACCACAATAGTTCTATACCTCTAGCACGAATAACTTTCGTCTTCGAATCGTTTGCGACAACTGAAAAATTCAACGATAACGTGACAATCTCGGTTGTCAAAATTAGTTTCGTACTACCTATATACGTATTTCTCATACTTAATTCACTTTACGTCTCGTTCACAGGGGCGTTTTTTAAGTTATTACACTAAATCTTTTGATGGCGGTTCGAATACGCAAACAAACGATTCGAATTCGAAAGTTTTTCTTACTAGAGGTACAGGGAAGGCAGGACTCGTTCGAACCTGCGTTTCTCGAATCTCGAGTCGGCCATTCTGATACCATCATTTAATTTTGTCTACAATGTCGCTTCCGAACACCTTCAACGTATACTCGTACTGTCACTTCGAACTTAAAAATGTCTTTTACTTGTTATTTACAGGAAGCGTACCCAGTGAAATTGAAGGAGGTCCACATCGTCAACACATCGCCCATCGTCGAGAGATTCGTCAACTTTGTCAAACCGTTCCTCAAAGAAAAAATCAGAAAACGCGTGAGTACCTACTTAAGACCTAATGTACACTGTAAAATGCAATAAAGAATTGAGTACTTAGTTATATTTTTATCTCCTTAGTAATTTTTATCTCCTTAAATTTTCTAATTCCAGATATTCATCCACAAAGAAGTGAAGGACTTATACAAGCACGTGCCTCAAGAGATGCTCCCTGTTGAATACGGTGGACCATGTGGCACCATGGAGGATCTGCAAGGTAAATTATATTTTTACTGTGCTACGAGTAGATGAACAGTAAAAAAGCGAAATACCACTCACTGATTAATCACGAAATCTCAGAAACTACTTCCACAAACTTGAAATTTGGCAGGTAGGTTCCGTATAGGGCGTAGAATATCCGCTAAAAACGGATTTTACGAAACTCCACCCCTAAGGAGGTAAAACGGGGTCCACGCGCGTACGCGTACGAATCTTTGCTATGACATTTTTCCCTCGTTTTTCTGTTTTGCTTAAAAACAAATTTAATTGAAAACTGAACCTACCTGGTATGTGAAAGAATTATGCAAAGCATAAAATCAATGTCTCCTAGTTCGATTTTCCTATTAAAAAAGCAATTCTTCCATTTCCAGAGCAATGGAAGAGCAAACTGGCTGAATACAAAGAGTGGTTCGAGGCGCAAGAGGCGGTGGTCGCCGACGAGGCCCGCCGACCAGGTCGCCCGACCAACTACGACGAGCTGTTCGGAATCGACGGCTCCTTCCGACAGCTCGCAATCGACTGACCGTAGAATTTAAGTCTGTAGCGCTAATTTAAGCTAAGTTTCTGCAAGTATTATCCCAATAATATTCTTAATATTTTCTTAAATCCCTGCAGTGTTTGCAGTTATAGCTCGCGCAGCAAGAGTTGAGGCAATCAACACAAGCAAAGATTTCTACGTCTTGAATATTCTGACTGATTTTGGTTTTCTTCTAAATTCAAATATTACACCAGTGTATGGTGTTCGTCTCAACATTCATTGCGCGACCTATAGATTTATTGACATTCTTCGTCGGCATTAAAAATGTAGGTAATGTTTTACATAAATCGTGTTTACTGATACTTAGATCTGAACACTATCCAATGCCTTGAAATGTGCAGAAGACAGAACATCATACTTGGTATTTAATGCAAAATCGGCCTTATTACAAGTACATAAAATACCCCAGTTATTAGCTTGACATGCCTTTATCTTAAAGACTGCACAAAATGTAGTAGATGGAAGAATCTAACTTATATATAGAAGTTTGGCGTAAATTCGAGTAAGTAGAACAATTAAATCTCTACACTCGATTGAAAACTTCACTTGAACTTAATTAAATATTTAGTTCTACATGCAACTCCCTTCTAGAATAATTAATGTATAGTTGGATTATTGTGATATAATATTTTGGCTTACAATTAAACGCTGTATTTTATTAGAGGCTCAATATGTAGGGTATTTTTGCAGATCTATAAATTTTTGTTACTATAAAAGCCTTGTTCGGTGATTTGTAGGTATAATAATATGAATATGCTCGGTTTTAGGTTAATTTCTCGTAAATGATGTTTATTTACATGCGACCACTCACAATTAATTAATATTGAGGAACCTCTCTGTAAAGTAGAAACATTAAACCATTATTTTTAATGAAAAAATAAATGAAGTTTTTCTGAGCCTAGGATTTTGTTTTATTCCTTATCAACTGCCTGACCTACGGTAGAGAATGTCTCTTGGCATTAAGTCCTCCATTTGTAATTTTTGTACATCCAATAGTATCCTACTTCCTACTAATCCTACTATCCTACTAATATTATAAATGCGAAAGATTATGTGGATGTCTGGATGTTTGTTACTCTTTCACGCAATAACTACTGAACGGATTTTGATGAAACTTTACAGTATTATTTTTTATAACCCAGAATAACATATAGGCTATAATTTATGACGATCTGTGACAAATTAAATTTCACGCGGGTGAAGCGGCGGGCAAAAGCTAGTAAATAAATATAACAGCAACACGTATGTTTATAAAAAAACCCCAAAACTTGAAAAAAGATAGAAAACTCTTTATTCTTTCATATTATTATTAATCATCTTATTCAGTATACGGGTAATATGGATGGTTTTTCGAGCTATCATCATCCCCGAAGACGGACTTGTTGACGTTGAACTTGCTGATGGTGGCTACCTCTTCTGGGGTCAGCGTGAAGTCGAAGACGTCAATGTTGGCCTTCAGTCGGTCCTTGTTGGTTGATTTCGGGACTGGGATGACGCTTCTCTCGATCTGGGATAAATAAAAAATAAAAAACATACACTCGAATTGAGAACCTCCTCCTTTTTTGAAGTCGGTTAAATATAGCTTGATTGTTAGTCTTTTGTTACTCTTAAGCCTGGGCCACACACATCGCTATAACATTCGGGAGATAATGGGGCAAAGCCCTTGCGACTATGCAAAAAAGCACCAAAGTATACGCAAATATTAGACTACACACATCGCTATAGCGCGAATCTTTGGGTTATGGCAATTTGTGCGCGGCCTAGGAGTTTATTACACATCGATATAATCTAAAAGTTGGTGATAATCTGCAGTAGTTTTGTGCAATAATTTGCAACTTCAACCTACTCTAATTAGTCGGCAATCGAATGTTACATTCGCTGAATGGCATTTGAATTAGGACGCTGAGTCCTAGTGTGCTTAGGACCATCCATGAGCTCATTTTAGAACCTAAAATACAGTTCCAGATTCTTCTCTCCGTTTAAGAACTATTCGTAATACTCTCCCTGTGCCTGGTAGTTGCACACTTTGCACAGTACCAGACAATAAACATTGCTCGTAGAGTCACTCAGCACCTAATAGCAATTCAGAAAGTGACCTATAAACTTCACTATCAGGAAAAAACATGTTATGAACTGCGTACAAAGATTAACTGTATCATTGGGCAGCGTAAGAGTTAAGTATACAACTAGGTACATAGCCCGAGTTCTAGGTGCAACAACACCTCTCATAATTTAACACGTAGTTTGAGCTCTACTTTATTTTAAGTAACACACAATCTCACTGCGAGTACTCACCAAATACCGCAACACTATCTGGTTAGTGGTCTTCCCATACTTCTGCGCGATCTTCACCAGGGCGGGGTCATCGGCCTGTGGGGGAGGTGCGGCCGAGCTCGCCCTGGGCACCAGGAAACCGAAGGGACTGTAGGCCATGACCGCTACACCCATGTTGTGGCACTTGGTGACTAGGGCCTCACGAGTGTGGGCTGGGTGGATCTGAAATAGATTTTTTGTCAGATACCTTAAAAACAGTATGATAAATCATCATTATCCCTTGATGAACGTTAGCCTAACCTCCAAAGAACGTCAAAGCAAAGAAATAACTCTATATTTTTCAGTCAGCCGCTGACAGCTACCTTTTTACCCGACTGTGACACAAGGCGGGTTATATTTTTTACGGCAAGTGCCTCAGTTCTGTTTTGTTTATAGGTAGGAGGCAAACATGTATTTGTCAACTGTCTTATTTTATTCAACAATAATTAGGATAGATAGTAAGGATAGATTGTGAAGCATTTTATTGTCTAGAAGGATTGATGCTTTCCTATAGATAGGTATAGTGACAACCAAGAGAGTACCTACATGAATCAATCCTCGCAATGAAAACAGTCTACCACTGGCTAGGCACTGAAATCTATAGGCATATAAATGTATTTCCTTCATTAAAGTATTATTTACTTACATCAGCAACTAACAATTCCTCCGTTACTGAAAGCTTTACAAGAAATGTCACTTCTAACCATGAAAATACAAATCATGACGTTAATTTTGTGTTCTTACTTCAATCTGGTTAACGGCCGGAGGTATCTGGCTGCTGTCAATGATCCTCTTGATCTGCGCCGAGTTGAAGTTGGAGACGCCGATGGACTTGGCCAGCCCCTGCCGCTTGGCGTCCTCCATGCCCTGCCAAGTCTCCAGGTAGTCGATATAGCCGTCTGAGCCGTCCGCCTGGGTGAAGTAGAGATTAATTATTACTAGTGTTGCTGAACTATCAATAATTAAGTAGGGTAAGAGATGAAAGGACTCGAGTCTAAGTCCTATAAGTTAGGACTAGACTCGATTTCAAGGCTCGACTCCAAAAATACGACTCAAGGCTCTTTACTGAGGGGACTCTAGTTATAAATATAAATAAATACGACTCAGAAATAAAACGACTCGAGTTCTTTCATCTATAGTTAAGCTATGATTGAAGAGTAACATTTTAAAGAGCATCATTCTGTGGTTGCATTGAATCGAACATCAGTTTCTACGTCGATATAATCAATAGTGTGGTTTACGTTACTATTAGTCACACACAGAGAAAGATCAATAGATCAACGATAGTAGTTTGGTTTGAAACTATCGATTGTGCAAAACACACGTTGGTATCGATACTCGCATAGTGTATAAAATGTGCATGGGATAGACTATCGTACCATCGATATTTGATTGTTAATCGGCATCACTACCGTAATAACTCATTCTAATTTACATGTCATACTTACATCGACAATCTTTAGAATTTCTAGTTAAAATTCGTTAGGTAGGATATTAGTCTTACCTCAGAAGATATAGGGAAGTGGATGAGGTACAAATCGACGTAACTCAAGCCCAGTCTGCTGAGCGACTCCTTCAGGGCCGGCACCACTTGGTTGCGAGCGTGTTTGTCGTTCCATAACTGAAATTAAAATTAATAAACCATCATCAGCTAAGATAAATCATACAGAATGACTCAGGATTTTTCGTAGAACTGAACATTGTAATGAAATAAATCATTTTTGGCGTTCCTATTTAAATCCCTTTAGTAGCGAAAAAATCACTAAGGACCAGTTTCACTGTGATAAAGCTGCTGGTTAATGCAGTGGCAGTGACATAAGCATTCATCAGCAACCAGTAAGCATCAGGGATTTCATTAGCACAGCAAATTATAGTTTACATAACATGTTAACTTTACCTTGGTAGTAACAAACAGGTCCTCCCTCTTCACCAGCCCCTTGCCTATGACGTCAGCGATGCCCCTCCCGATGTCCTCCTCGTTGCCATACAAGGAGGCCGTGTCGATGTGTCTGTACCCAGCTTCCACCGCCCAGTTGATAGTTTGACGCATTGTGTCTCCATTCTGAGGGAAATTAAATATTTCTTTACCATGGTCCGGTCATGTCATGATGAGACGCCCCGAAGACCATGTCGTAAAACTGGCCACTAATAAAAGTGGTGGTGGTCCACGGAAGGTACTGACACTCTTAGAGCGTGCCAGACTGTCCTGCCTGGCGCCTCAAAACAAGAAGAGCCGACCCCAAATAATGGGAAAAAGGGCTAGGGAAAAGAAGAAGAGAAGAAGAAAGAAGTGGTATTGCACACTTTACTATTAAGTAGTTCCTTTATTAACACATCGAGGTAATCTTATTATGCCCGAGTTAAATGACTTCACAATAGTCGAGCAACAATGCGGCAATGGCAGGGTTCGAAACCGCGTTCCTCGGATCACTAGTCGGCTAGTCCGACACATCCATTGTTTTTTTCCCTGACCTCTAAATACTTAACTGACAAACTGGCCGTAAATTGAGCGACTATGTATTGATTAATGCTAAATAAAGCATGTAAAATAATACAAAGAATGTAGAAAACTTACTCCTCCATAAGTCCCCAGCGCCAAAATGGGAATCTTGTTGCCATCATTCAGCGAGGTAGTTGGCGCTTCCAACGCCAAAGCTATCTGAAAGAAACGAACGACAACTCAAGTTATTGTCTTGACTTAATTTACATGGCTGCAGAAGTGTTGATGATACAATCATTAAAGGTTACAACAAAGCCTGAAGAACACCGCACTATTAAGTCTGTATCACAATTAGCAAAAGGTAATATACCTAAATAAGCTTTTTAGTATTCATTTGTTGTAAAGAGATCCTTGATTGTACCACAATAAGTAGCTTCCTAATTCCTTATGGATATTATTATGTTTCTCACGATGCTCACGCATGATGCTTTACAATAATATTTTTGTCTTAAAGACTCGTGCCGGTAGAGCACGATGTAGACAAACGTATTATTTGAATCACTTCGCTTTGCTACTTTTTGCATCAAAACCTACAACGAATGTCACTTAATCTAGCTAGGACAAGTCGATGTGCTCTACAAAGAATTACTTACACGCCTAGAAACTAATAAATAAATGAAAATTCCTGGTGTTTTCTAAAATAAAAGATTACCTAATATGAAAAGAGAATATTCGTACAATGTTTTCGACATCAACCGAATGGTAATTGCGTTAAGATAATTCATACACTGCTGCGGGCTTGTTAAAATAAAAAGTCGCAAAACTAGTTTGCCCTTGTTAGTTCAGGTCATTCACTGTGCTCCAAGGACTACTAGAGTCAGAGAACTTAGTGTCATTCATCTTAATAATTAAATCAGTTAACTTAAAAAATATTTGAAATGTGAATAAAAGACATAGAGCCATGTAAGGATATAAAACGGGAAAAGGGTGCCCTGAAACCCCTCCAAGAAGAATTAGGTACAATTTGAATTATACATAATAAACTACGTAGGTAACTCCAATATTATTAAGATTATCTTGTACCTATTTTAAAGACATTGGAATTACGAGTAGGTACGTAAATTACTTACATAATTCACATAAAATCT